TATATTCCACATCCATTTCTAACTCTTTCCCAAACTTTTTTGCTTGCTGTACACGATGTTATTGATGATACATAGGTGATCCAAGAATCCCTCTGGCTCTGCCGTCTTATGTTTGCTTTGGCTTTTCTGAAGGCAATAAGATTTAACAAAGAGGGGTATCAACGAAAGACTCCCCAAGCTTTTCTCTGTTGTCTCGGTGATTCCTAGCAATCATGGTTCCACCATGGCTTTGAGTATTTCCGGAGACTTGTAGATGTGAGAGGTACAGAATTCATAGCTGCTTGAATGATTGTAAGTGTAATTTTCTTGACTGCTTCACCGATGAGCACATTGTTCACTGATTTCGGAAAGTGATGAGAAAAGTTCACAGTCGGCTCTATCTAAAATGAAGCAGGCAGGTATCAGACTGGATAAGTGGTTGCTATCAAAGGGGTTATTTCCAACACTAAAAGAACACAGTGGCAGGAATGAAGGTGAACAGATGGCAAGATTGATGGGCGTGTTGGCTGAAGTCCTAGTTGGCTGATGGAAGTAAGTGGATTGACCATTATTAAGCAAACATAGTGAATGATCTACAATTAGCTTTTCAATTTACCTACCTCGTGCATTAAGACCTTTACTTTCCCAATAAGAGTTATGAGCATTGAAGTCTCCTAGAAGGACAAAAGATTCAGGTAGCTGCTCTATGGGATCATCCAAATCTTGTTGATTGATATTCAGAGGCAAGTGAATGGAACAGACTGAAAATACTAAAATTAATTTGTATAACAACAGCTTGGAGGCATGTGATTAAATGAATAGCACTTGATGGGCAGTCAAATGAGGTGAAAACACCAACACCTCCACTGGCATGTTCACCATTCGGATTAGCTTTCCTCGCCAGAACGTATCTCCGAAGCTCTGCGTGTTGTTCTTGTTTTAGCATCGTTTCTTGTAGTGCAAAGCACACTGGCTGATGAACATCGATCATCTCCTTACTGTTACTAAGATTTTAGTGGAATTCGTGACAGTTTCAAGATATGAAAGTAGCCATTAAGTCTGATTTTTGTTTTTGCAGTGCTGTTTTTTAGTTTTTCGTGGGAGGAGATTTTTTGGAATTTTTAAATCCTCTTCAGTTTCCATATTATCTGAGTCAAAAGCTTTTGACATCATATCTTATACAGAACTACTATTCTGATTATTAATCTTATTAACACTTTTTTGAGGGATAATTTTCTGTTCGGTTTGAACTACAGTTTCCTTCCTCTGTATCGAATGAGTTGGTTCTTTGTTATTTCTACTTGCACTGCTTTGGGTTTTGAATGATGGAATGTTAGGTGCACTGATAGATGTCTGGGTTCCAATAGATCTTGTCGATTTTACTGCACTGGCAAAAGTTGTATTTGGGCGCAGTTGCGAACTTACCACTATTTTCCTAGCTTCAGCATATGAAATGTTTTTATTCACTTTAGTTGTTTGAACTTCATTTTCCAGTTTCCATTTTGGACATGAACAAGAAAAAGCTGGGTGCTTACCCTTGCAGTTTATACACAATGGCACAGTGGTGCAATTATCACTATTGTGACCAAGCGAACGTAAGGTTGCCACGACAGGATGTCTTAGAGTGACCAAAACACTGGCATTGGAAACATCGCATGGGATTAGGAATACACGATTTTACAGGGCAGCTTAGGTATCCCACCTTAATATTCTTTGGCAGATCAGGTTCGTGTGTTTCATGTCAATCAACTGACTTTTTTTTCACACATCTTGATCCGCCTAGCACCACAGACTTTTTGGTCAGTTAACTCGGAAACGAACTCTTTTTCTGAAACACACAGAAGGTCGATTTCCGAGATCACACCTCTACAGAAATTCAGAGTTTTATGCATTGACACACTTATAGCTACATGTCCAAGTTTGGTTTGTGACAAAAGGGAAGCGGACCGAGTGGCCGAAACAGTATCTATAAGCAGGTTTCTGGAACAGAGATGCTTTATGTTCCTTGGTTCACTAATGCAAGAATGGATAGATTTACTTACTATGAAAGGGGACATCTTTTGCAGTTTGCCAGAGGGACACGAGACAACAAGGAAGCGTGGACTATCACTAGTTACTTTGGCATTTGCATCGGTGCATATTTTCTTACTAAGAGATTTATCAATTACCTCAATACTTTGGTCGTTTTCATTTGTTTTAATAAGAAACGTAGAAGCCATAATTGAAAGAGAAAGGATTCATACCTGGCAGCCCCACCCACCATGGAATCCAACAAGATGATGCAAATTCCTGCGCCAGGGCTAACCAGGTCCATACACAAACTGAAACCCCACAGTCGGCTTTCCTGAAAGCAGGTACTCCCAAGAGCTTATTCCCAAGCCACTGACACAAGGACTAGTGACCAGCTGATTGACACCCGTGAGGACGACTGAGGTGCCTCCCATTTAGCTGAAGCAGAGGTGTGTTGGGGACAGTACCTCACCCCTCAACTACCAGGACCCTCCTTTTCAGCGACATGGGTCTCCATACACGGCAAACACGTGGGCAGTTTTCTCGTCACTCAAAAACTAGGGATAAAGGCTGTTTCAGTTTCTCGTGACAAGCCCCAACCTCCTCAGAGGAAAACTACAAAAGGAGAAGGGAAGAAAAAAAATATTAGCTCAAAAGAGAGGATAGATCACTGGGGCTCCAGGATCGTGAGACCTTTCTCACCAAGAAGTTGATCCCCTGAAGAGCTAAGGTACTTGGCAATTCCAAAGTACCTTAGCTCCAAAGTACCAAAGTACCTTAGTTCCAAAGTACATTGTACTCACAAAAGTGAGCCCCTGGGGGGGAGGGAACTATACTTCTGTGGACATGCACAGCTGCCAATAATTTTTTTCCCTCATTATTTATCTATACATATATTTGCCACAAGAATAGCTTGGGCCATAAAAACAGAAATTTTATACTTAATTAATTTTAAAAGAAATATTAATTATAGATTTTGTTAAAAGGAAAGAATTCACAACTTTAAGGGATTTAAATTTATTTGTTTTGGCTAACTAAATTTTCAAGTTGAAACTGAATGTTATTAATTATGGATTAAATAAAAAATTAGTAAGCAGGACTTTTATTTGCAGGCAAAGCTGTACAAAGACAGTAAAAAAAGCTGTACGCAATAAATATCATATAATAATATCAGGAATTTACACCACAATTTTTACACTGAATCTATTGGACACACAAAACTTCAAAACTAAAGACAAAAAAAATTTACTTAAATGTGTAGAAATAATACATTATATGAAACGTGAAGCACATAATAAAATTAATATTTTTTGATTAATAATAATAAGTAAATTTAATTGTTTATCATAAAAATATTCATAATGAACTGTTTCAGTTTAAAGATTAGTCTCCTACCATTATTAATATCACTTACAAAGGTCACAATTTGGCAGCACTGAATATAACATTTTAAAAAGATAAAAATGGGAAAATATGCCTAAAAAGATTTAATGTTTAACAAATATAAGGCACATATATTACATAGCATATATCTGATACTTTTCACTAATAGCTGATTCCTTTTTTACTAAAAACTAAGTGCTCTTCTTAATAATTACTTGCATGCACTTTGTTGTTCTACTGTGATTATACTTACTTCATCTTTAGATATGTACTACAGACAAATGCTAGTTAAGTAATAGTGGCTAAATAATGCACAAGGCAAAAAATGCAAAATCAAAGATTATTCATGCCAAACTGAAATGAATTATTTAAATTACAGTGTTCCTTAACAAATGGCAGGCTACCAAAATCAACTCAAAATTAATACATTCTGAAAAGATATACTTCAGCCATCATCTGAACACTTCAAAATTAAGAAAATATACTTTCACCTTTTCATTTCAGTAGCACAAAAGGCAAAACATGCAAATAAAAAAATCATGTCAATTTAGAAAGTATGCAAGGAAGGTGTGAATGTTAATATAATTGTGTTAGATCAACCAGAACTCAGTTCAAAGTGCATTTTTCTCAGTGGCATCTAAGTCCAAATCTATGAAACTCCAAGGCTATTATTGACAGGATAACGTTATATAGTATAATAGGATGAAAAATACATCCAGAACTCCCTAGTGTTAATACCTCTAAGATGATGGACGAAGTCAATAACTTATATATGTGATATACCAACTGTGTGATTGGACCAGGGCTGGATAAGAATCCTTCATGACATAGTAAAGATGTTTCATGATAAGGTCTAGAAATATTTTAAATAAGAATTAAGCAGCAAAAACATTTAACACAAAAGAAAGAGAAGGAAGAAAATAGTTTATGAGTAATACTTATACACCAGAAATATATGAAAATTTGGGAGATAAAACTGCAAGGAAAGCTAATAAAATTTGTTAGATACATACTAAAAAACAAAAATGCATGCAAAATATTTAATAACTATTACAAATATCAATAACGTCTGTAAAAAACTTCCTTATTAAATGAAATAAAACATAGATTCATTACTATAAACTGCAATCACAGAATATTTTATATTTACTATTAAAAAAACATGCACATAACAATAATTTTTTTTTTTTTTTAATTTTAAATTTTTAAATTAAAAAAAAAAAAGATTATTTCAGATATAAAGTGCATCTACAGCACATCAATAAAAAGAGTGACAGAAAAAGAGAAACTTGAAGGATATGTAAGACAGTATTCAAATTATTAGTCTGCCCTAAGCATTATGTTTATAAAAATGTGTTTTCCAACCTCTATCCTTTTCCAATCATAAATCTCTTATAAGTGGTATTAACTTCATTTGGTACACATGAACAAAGCAAAATTAAAAAAATTTCTCATATATGCCTTCTGTAAACAGAAATACCAGATATACTTTAGACATCTACAAATAGATACATCTTTTAATTCTACAGCAATTTGAAAATTTAAGACAGATTTATTTATAATAGGCACAGTATTTTATTACAATATTATCAATGAAATGATAATACTCATACAAATTAAATTCTTACCCGATTGATCTTCTGTCGTGTCTGCTTCAATGATTTGATTATCAAACCACATATGTGCTACAGTCATTCTATTCTGTGTTAGAGTACCTGTTTTATCAGAGCATATTGTAGATGTAGAACCTAATGTTTCTACTGCTTCCAAATTTTTCACAAGGCAATTTTTGGAAGCCATTCTTTTGGCAGTTAAGGTCAAGCATACCTAGAACAAAAAGTAATAACTTAATGCAGGAAACATTATTTTAAATATAAAAAAAAAACACCCTCCAATTAGAATAAACATGATGTTTATGCAGATAAATAATTTTTAGATGCTTCAACTGAACAATAAAAATAATTAGTCTTTAAAAAACTACAGCAAAAGAGTTCCAACATAAAATTAAAAAAAGATTCAATGCACAATAAAAAATACAACACATATATAACAACAATAAATACCAATAAAAATTACTAATGAAGCTGCAATCTATACTACATTAACAATTCACTAATATTTCTGTTAATATTATATGCAAGACAAGGGATAAAATGATGAGATAATTGAAAATTTATCACTTCACATAAAAAAAAAAGCGCACTTCCGAAGTTTAGAATTTTAAAAATAAAGATGTAATTTTCCCAGGCATAAAGTCTAAAATTCAGGTTAACTTAATTTAAGAGTTAAGGAAAAAAAAGTGCTTTTTAGGTACTTCACTTCAGAAGAGTCACTTTGAAAAAGAAATCAAACATACATGCTTATTTCTTAATTAAACTACTTTATTTACTGAATTTTTTTAGTGTTATAAATAATCTAAATTTAAAATAATTGAATAATAAGATTATGAAGACATTATGTATCATGGCACTAATAACAGATTTTTAAATACACAAATGTAAATAAATCCTACCGTGACAGTAGCCAAGAGACCTTCAGGTACATTGGCAACAATTATTCCAATTAAAAAGATAACAGCATCCAACCAATAATAACCCAAAATGAAAGCAATGAAGAAGAATGTAACACCTAAGAAAACAGCCACGCTAGTGATGATATGGATAAAGTGGGCAATTTCCCTTGCAATTGGTGTATCACCCATTTCCAAGCCAGATGCAAGGTTTGCAATACGTCCCATTACCGTTCGGTCACCCGTGTTGATTACAATACCTCGCCCAGTCCCTGGAAAATAAAATGATAATCTGTACCAGGCATAGCCATATAAACTGTGGCTTCGGAGATGCATGTGAATCTGCCTCCTTAAATGTTGCTCACTTTAACAAGCAATTATTTTATTTTATAAAAAATAACTAAAATTTCAAAAATATATGAATCACTAAGAATTTTTTAAAATTACATTATACATATAATAATTTCAAAATGTGCAGAGTGGATTAAATTATTGCTGTAATAAAAGAAAGATAGAAAATCCCATTTCTGGACTTAACTATTTCATAGAAATTATTTTTAAATAGATATTGGCTATGGAAACAGCATAAAAGACTTTGAGAACACCTTCTAACAAAGACTTGTATCTTATTGAGTGACATTACATATATGTATAATTATAGCTTACAATAGAAACAGCAAAATGCATCTGATAATTGAGATTTTGCATGTAATAATTAAAGGATTTAGGTTTGGTTTGATTTCATTTATATGATTATGGCTATGAATGCAAAGGTCTAAGCGAAGGGATATTTTAAGGAAGGACTTTCCTAAGGAAAACTGGCTTGTATTCATATTACACAAGTAATAAAACATTGAAAGTACAAAAATGATTTAGGGTTAGGAATATCTCTCTATTATGTTTGGAGATATGAAAACAACAAGAATCAGTGTAAGGTGCATACTAGGGCTAGTTTTGAAAAGATTTGAATATAACTTTCTTCTTCAAATACAGAACTGAAAATAATCAAGGAAAAACCTGCACTCTGATAACAGACCAGAAAATTTGGCTAGTTTGCAAGAAGTAGTTACTTGTGCCATCTATTGAAAATATTGAAATCACTAATAAATTTTAAAAATTGAAATAATTTACCATTTTAGATAAATCCAAAACTCAACACTATTTCAGTAGAGCATATTTACAGATTTATATATGCTTTCAAGAGAAGTTAGCTCTTTCAATCGGAGTTTTTTTGAGTGAGTTTGGTATTTATTTAAAGAATGTTTGCGATATTCACTTATGTTATAGAACAGTGTATTAAGCTTTTACGATAACAGTTTTGTATTTCTAAAGCAGATCTTCAGTTCAAAATGCATGCATGATATCTAGTTCAATGCCACATTAAATAGCAATCAAATGCATTTACAAACTGTTTGTTAAATATTCACATTAAGTCTATTATTTCATAGTAAAACTAACAGCATATACTATGTAAACTCCGAAATTTGGACTTCTAATATCTGGAATTATCTAATATCCAGACCTTCAAACTATTGCAGTTCAAACTATACTTAATTTCATAAACCACACCTTATGAAATTTTCCCTCACAAAGTCAGAAACAAAGAATATAATAGTAAAGAAAAACAGGAGCAATTTTTTTCCTGACTAACTGAGTTTCTTGAATGCCACTTTCAAACTTCTGCAGAATCACACCATTATCTATTACAATAGACTGACTGATGCAGTATCACAGGTAAATTAAGAAGTTGGTGGAACAGGTGGCCACAATGGGCTCAGTGAACCATGGTGGTCTGGAAGCTTTTCCTAATTAAATATATAATGATGATAAAATAAAAAAATTGTTCATCACAAGTAACACAATAAAATCATATATTCATCAATTCATTTGATATATATATAATTTGAGTGACATTTTAAATTTCGCCCCATTCTCTTATCTACTTCAAAGCATGAAAAATCATCTTTAATTATTTTAATATTATTTGCAACATAATATCACAACTTGCTCACAGAAACAAATTATATAAATATAATAGAGATAATTTTAAAATGTTCTTTTATTTAAATTAGTTGAATTCCATTGGATTAGTTAAACTGTGTTTATTCCACTGAAGTGCATTTAAAAGAGTTAAAATAGATTTGTAAAAATTATGTTTATGTTATGAATTTTGATGATGAAGTAGATTAGTTTTATTGTTTTCAAAAGAAACTGAAAACAAATTTACTTCTGACATGCAAGTATATCATGCCTCAAGAGAAATGTCACCAGTTTTCTTCTAATGTAGAAGTTATTCAAATATTTTTGCGACTATTCCGGTTTTTAATGCATCGTACAGAGATTTTTCTCTGTCTTAAAAAAGGTAAAAATATGCTTAAGAAATATGATGTCAGAAGAATAATAAACCGTATGACTGTAATATATGACTTAACAAGAAGAGTTAAAGAAGAAAAACAATTTATAAATTTGCTAGAAAGTCAAGGAAAATGTTAATTTAACCTGCTTCTTGATAAACATCTAATTTAATGATCAATTATTTTAAAATATTCTATAATATGTTTTAACAGTTTGAAGTTTTGCTTTTCTTTCCCATATAATATTTAATTTCTTGATACAATTTTAATTTTTATGTATTATAGTATTGATATGAAGAGATAATATAAGAATATTTAAAAATAAAAATATTAAATCACAATTTTATTAAAATATTAACCATATTAAATAATTATGTATATTTAATTATTTATTACACTTCAGCATTAATTGCATTTCAAGCATACAGATACACAAATATTTTCTTTAGGAGCTCCAAAAATGTTATTGCCAGGAGTCTCCACCTGCCCCTGTACAGTATTAACATTTGTCATGATCACACTCTTGGTGGCTGAGTAGCTGTTCGATCAGTTAGCATTCTTCTGTCTGACGTAGGAAGATTCCAAGGAACTTAAGCTCAGTTAACATAGCAAATTGCACACCTTTCCTTAATTTTCTACTTAGATTTAGCTCATTATTTTTTGTAGGCTATTATTATTACCACTATCTTATCAAGAAACAGTTTGAATTTTTATTGTTAATTATAGAAAAAGATGCTCGGGAACCACAGCTGTGGTTTCATTCTTATTTATAAATATTATAGTTCACCAAATGCCTTCAATCAAATAAAGGAAATAAAATCAGAGTTCAGATGAAACATTATATAGGTGAGCACGAGGAAAGCCCAACTAGTACATATGGGAAAGCTTTAAGTGCATGACATCAAATAAAAAAATACACATGCATGTTAATACCTAGGAATATGTCATTGAAAATGAGCTGTTTAGTTTATTAAAGATATTTAAAAAGAAATGAGAAAATAATTCAGGCATACCTTCAACACAGTTGGTAGAGAAAAAGGCAATGTTCCTCGTTTCCAAAGGATTTTCATTGGTCATTTCTGGAGAACGAGTTTGTGGTTCTGATTCCCCAGTTAATGAAGAATTGTCAACTTTAAAACCTTGAGCAGAGATGACTCTAATATCTGCTGGTACTCTGTCACCTCCTTTAACTTCTACTAAGTCACCTACCACAACATCTTCTGCAGGCAGTGTAAGTTTCTGACCTTCTCTTATGAGAGTTGCATACTATTACAACAAACATATTTCATTAACGTTTTTGTAAATTTCATGCATAATATACAAAATTCTAACAAAGGTGCATATTTTTAAAATTTTATAAAGGAGGGGAAAATATTTACAATAACTGAAAAATATATGTGTCAAAAGAGTCGTATATATAGCAGAATCTTACAAAAACAAATACAAATTGAGTATGCATTTTTAACAAAATGGTTTTCTGCTGTAAAGATAAAATTTTAAAAAGAAGAAGATTTCTGATCAGAGTTCATAAGTACTTTAAAGGACCATTAATGAAAGGAATTAAGAACCTATTAGCAAATGGGAATTGAATAAATTCTATTAAAGATATTATCTATGCTGAACTTCACATTTGTAATACCATCCTAAGAATAAAATAGATCCGTAAGTAGAATGCCTTATTATTAAACATAATTATAAAATAAACTTGAGAATAAAATCAACTCTATGAAATTTATCAAGTAGCATTAAACATTTGACACTTATAACAGCTGAACATAACTGAACGACTGAAAGAAAATTAATGACATTTTATTTACGTTTTACCAACAGTCAGTTTTTCTTTATTTTAAGTTTCATTTTGTCACATATTTTCTTGGTCTAGAGGTTTAGTAAATAGCAAAGTACATTTTTGGTCAAATGGCATAAGTTTAAAAGAGAAGTAAAATCGTAACCAGCAAACAGCTGGTCTTTTGACATTTAACTCAGGTTCCAGTGGCACCACAGAATATTTGGCTAAAAAGCTTCAAGACTGATTGAATAGTTACTATCTGAATAGTACTATAGTGTCTGGTGTTTGAATGTTATTTATGTTTGTAACGGAATCATATTTGGAACAGAGATGTAAAATAAAGTTTTGTTTTAAAAGTGGCAAAACTGCTAATGAAACTTATCAAATAATACAGAACGCTTATGGTGAAGAATGTTTGCCACATTCTAACATGTTTTTGTGGATTAGCAGATTTCAAGATAATAGCGATGATGAAAGAATGAGATGTTCTCACACAAGCCGAATTGACCCGAACATTGAAGCTATCCATGCTGTGCTACATCAGGATTATAGATTAACTATTAGAATGCTTGTAGAACATTTAAACATTGATCAAGAAACTGTCCATACAATAACTGGTGAGGATTTGAGAAAAAAGAAATTCTGTGCACATTTTGTTCTGCATTCACTAAAAACAGAACAAAGGCATGATAGTATGGCAGCTTGTCAGGATATTCTTAATATGCAAAACTGCAATCCAGATGTTTTAAGAAAAAATCATAACAGGTGATTTGGTGCTTCGCCTACAACCTAGAAATGAAGAGACAAAGTGCACAGTGGATTAGCCGAAACTTGCCCATAAGCCAAAGGAAATGCATTTCCAAGAATCCAGGTCAGCAGGAATTTGTTCCTGAAGGAAAAACAGTGATTATAGTATTTTACATGGGTGCAATGGAATAGCTATTGAAAAGCACTGCACGTGTGTGTCTGGACTTTGATAGAAACAAAAACTGGTTCTTGCTGCAATATAACACGCCATCTCATAATGCAATTGTTATCTGTATATTTTTGCCCTCCCCTCCCCCCAAAAAACTCTGAAACCCCCACCCCATTTGCCTACCAGATTACAATTTATTTCCAAACCTGAACTTAAAACTGAAAGAGCATTGATTCGACAATATCAAGACGATACAACAAAATGGTACAAGGGAGCTAAGAGCACATGATTTCCACCATGGTATGTAATGGTTTGCAGACTGTGCCAACCAATGTATAACTTTACAAGGGTTATATGTACAATAATTAGTTTAAAAAATGTTTTTACTGCAGTCAGTTTTTTTATGACCTCAATCCTAAAACGTTTTAGCCAGACTGCGTACAGTAGCAATCTTGCATCATTGCATCAGAAGTGTCAAATAACAAGCCTCATTCTTAATTGTGGATCTTTCTGAATATGGTCTTGAAAGTGTTTCCACAAATATCAGATGACACTGGGCATAACATAAAGCTCTTCTGGCACCTGTAACTTGTGATTTACGTGCTTCCAATTTATTGACAGTTCTCCAACTTATTCCATTATCCATACATTTGTACCTACACAATTAACCAGATATCTTATCAAATTTACCTAATACTTGTGAGAAACATGATGAATGTCATGAAGCAGTTTGAGTACAAGAATTGGCGAAAACCCTTGTGCACTTGTATCCCTTTTACATCACCAAGGTCTACAGACACGCACATGTACAATTATGTATTCGACTCTGATCATTTGCATCATTCTTCAGCAGCATAATCAGCACCTTTGTTTCAATACTTTTCATAAAAATAGACATAGTTTGCAAATTCCAATACTTCTCCACATGTGTGTGTGTGTGTGTGAATAAATATAATAAAACAAAAAATTAAATTCAAACATATTCAACTTGGAATAAAGGGCTGTGAAAATTAAATAGATTATTTATTTTGGAAAAAAAAATTAACACTACATAAAAGCAAGCTGAGTATGTTTTAAATTTAATTTTGCATTCTATTTTATAAATGCTGTCACTGGTTATTACAGCTTGCAGTGTATAATTGGGCATATTACTATCCAGTTTGAATGTACTTGATAAAAATATTGTAAATGATATTGAAGATCCAGTCAATGTTTAAATAAATTACGAGTTTACTTTGATTATCTCAGTAAAAGTACTGTAAATATGAATTCAGATATTGTTTAAATATAAACACAGATGTCATGATTTTATGTAATTATCATATGTAACTTGTACAAGACAATGTTTGTAATCAAAATATCTATGCTTATACACTGGCCTTGTATGCCCATGTAATATTTATATTTTTACATGGAGGAAATATTCCCTTCTGTCAGGATGACTATTAACACTGTAAGACTTTTACAACAAAGACAGGTCAGTGGTTATCTCAGGCGGCACTCTGTATAATTGGATTTGGATTTAGAATTTTTTCCTATTGGATATATTATAATTTGCTACTGAAGAGAGAGAGAGAGCATATAAGCCAATACAAGATTTTCAGACAAAACCCCTCAAGAAAAATATGAAGACATAGTTTGTTTGCAAAGCATTAACTCTTTCTAGTTATTTATACAGAAATCTATCAGTTTGTTGCTGTAGTTCCGATGTTTTAATTCAACTCTGAAGGTCTCATGGACTCATTTGATAAGGCCACATAACAAATAAACACACGTCACTTAACTGTTTATTGTTGTGTTATCAACAAAAATTGCTTCTGTCTGTACATCATTTCATCGTCTGTCAGTTATAATTGGCACATTTTTTGGGGGTATTTTATTAATCAGTTATCCATTAATAAATAGAAATGATATGATATAATAATTAATGGTAAATAAGTACAAAAAGTGTATGCAGTATCTGAATGGATAATTAACAAATAATCACCAAGAATTTAATTAAATCTATGTCACCATTAAAATTGACTGGAATATGGCATTAGATTCAAGCAATGCTTTCCTGCTCTCCTCTAGACTACGTTTTGCCACTCTTACAAAAAAAGATTGGTTGCGTCTGCTGCCATACTCTAGTAAAGCCTAATTAAATTTTGGTGGTAACAGATAACATTAAAATAGGAACTAAATTAAGAAATAAATTAATAAGCAATAAGATTCAGAATTTCATCTATTAAATTTATTAAATCTCAATGCTATCTATTGACAAACTATATTACAGTTTCATGTTACTGTAATACGTAAGGGATGCAATTTTGTTAAGTTTTTCTGCTGGCATTTAAAAAATGCTGCTTTTAAATCAGGGCTGTGGAGTCGGTAGGGAAAATGACAGACTCCGACTCCTGGAATCTTAAAGACTCTGACTCCTTCATATATAAGTAAACATATACACATGGGTTGCAGCTTATTTTTTTAATATAAAAGAAGTAACAGATGCTACAGAAAACAATTCATGGCACAGCAAATTATTTATATTAATTAGCATTTATTATGAAATGGAAAAACTGGCATTAGTAATTTCTAAGAAATAGTATAGCTTTGGCAAGATCTTCGGCATCCAATTTGATGAACTTCAGAGCTCAGAAAAGTCTTTCCACGTTGACTTGAGTAGGAGAAAGAGCTGTTACTGTTATGGCTACTTCTTTTAACTTTTCATGCTAGATTTTTATAAGTTTTAACCCCTTTGAGCCGGGTAGCGAAAATGAGCGCTTATCGCGGAGGCCGGCAGTGTCTTCCGCGAGCGTCTCTCCAGGGCCGGGGGCTTTTTTGCTACTAAGCCTAAATCCATGAAATTTCCGAAGTATCAACGCACTGTTTAATAATGCTCTATAGAGTATTTAAACGGCTTATGCTTTATAGATATTTATATATATATACTTTAATTACCTTATTTCTTGTTTAAATGCATATTTTACACATTTTATTTTAATTACTCACCATTTTATGACTTTTAACATTATACATCTGAAAACTAAATATATTACTTAAAATTCTCTTTTCGTATGAAAAATTTGAAAACAAGGATCTACATACAGTCCTATGTTACATTCCTTGAAGTCGTAATAACTCATTTGCCGTTTTGGAGGATTTTTTCCGGGAATGTGAACGAACGAAGCACCGTCGTCTCATTTTCTTATCAGTCTCTTCTGAACAAAGTTTTGGAAAATGTCTTTCAGTTAATCTTTCAGAATCAATATCAGAATTTCAGAATCAATATCTGAAATATTTTGCATCATTTCTGCTATTTCATGCTCTGTTAAACATTTTCGAGGCTTCGACATTGCAACGGTAAAAACAAAGAATTCACGTCTAACAAGATCTAATTACTTTCTAAAAACTGAACTGCAAACCGAAATACCCAACGCTTTAGAGCAAATAAAACTTCTCTACTTACAGTAAACAACTACCACGTGCGATTTAAAGAGACGTCATAAATCACGCCATTCGGAAACATTTATTTCCCCGTTTGTTTATATAATCAAAAACACGTGTATGTGAGTCATGCTTCTCTCATTTTGAGTAGAATGTCTAATGTACATGTATCTGAAACCATATGGGCATACAGTGCCATCTTGTGGCAGAAATTATAGTTTGAAAAACGTTCCAAGGTACTGGCACAAATACGTGACATTCGGTAGAAAACGCAACATTGCTCTGGCACGCCCGCATGTCGGCCGGTAGATAAGTGTGTTCGTTGCTGGCACGTATACGTGACAGTCGGCGCGAAAGGATTAAAAGAGGTGTCTTGCAAGAGCAAACATATTTCTCTATTTCTTCAAATGCTGTATAGAAATTGTGTTTGTATATTTTCCATTTTTATATCTAAAGGCTTTTGGTTCTTTATTTTCATTTGCTTTGCCCAAGATCTAAGCCTTTTCAATATTATCCAAATATTTCTCAAAATCTAATTCATCACTCGAAGAGGATGATAGAGATTCAATCTGCAGTTTGATTATCCTGATTTGAATACCTTGATGAAGAGAAAGCATGTTATTCTGTTGTGAATAATTTCATTCTTAATGAAAGTTCATAGATGGCTTTCTTTGCTTTTTTAATTTGTTCGTCATCTAACAAAATTCGGTGTTTTGGATCTAGATATATTGACCCTAGGAATATCTCATCGTCTAGCAAACTAGTTTCTCCTTTTTTCATTGAAGAAATAATTCCTTCTGCAATAAACCCTCCACTTCAGAAAGAACAAATGTCACATTCTTCCTTTCTCACCTCCTGTTAATTCTTCAGATTGTAGCTTTTTTAAGGCTACATGTAGTGCAGGAAGAAGAGTTTCCAATTCTGCAAGATCATTCCAGTCTTTCCTGTTGCTGAAACACATTATGGTTATCTACATCTTCTAAAAAACTTCTTAATTCTAACAACCTCTACATCACCAAATATGTATTTCCCTATCACGTTGCTTGATTAATAATTGCTCCTTTTCCTGCTTGCTTTCTAAGAATGGCATCAATTTTGGGACCTCTTACTGCTATTGTTGCTTTCCTATATTGTAATTAAATGAAGCAGTTTAATCAATAATGGCAAATATCACATCCATTCACCTCCCTTATATTTATTTATTAACAAATCAATAAAATAGAAAATAACTATTTATTAATATACATAGTCCAAAAATAAAAATAATAACTCAGTTTGTCATTAAATAGTTTTTCGATTCACTTTAATTTAATTTCAAATTCAAACTGTCCAACATAAACTGGAGTCGGGAGTCAATGTGTTTTTAGCGACTCCAAGTCTGACTCTTTTTACCGACAAATCTGCCTAACTCTGAGACTCCATAGCCTTGTTTTAAATATATGACCGAAAAAGACAATATTTTACTCAGAGTTTGCAAACATAACAATAAAGCAAAACTCATAAACATCTGTTTCTCATATCAATATTTACAACTAATCTTTAAAATGATTTGAATTTGCAGTAGCTCAAATATTACATACTATAAAGTTCCATACTAAGGATATCTTACCTGAGGCACCATATTTTTGAAAGACTCCATAATTTTTGAACTTCTGGCTTCTTGGTAATATGAGAAACATCCAGTAACTATTACAACAGTAGCTAACACAATACCTAAATATAACTTTAAAAAAAAATCAACATACAATTACAAAAATAACATAAGCAAAACTTTAAAAGTTTAAAAAAAGTTGTCACTTAGAAAAGGGTGGAAGGGAATAAAACTGCAAATGATTTTAAAAAGTAATTTTTAATAATGTGTATTTTTTTTAAATATGAACATGTAAACTAAAATGTATATCTTATATGTTTTAAGATTTATCAAGCATAATTTGTTAATTTATATTTCCTTAAAATGAGTAGCACTTAAATGAAATAGCAGTAAATACTTAACCACTTCCCAGTTTTGCCCATACGGCGCTCAGGCAAACGGCTAATTTGCGCAAATTTTTTGCTTGTTTAGTGTGTAATGTTTCTAATAGATGGAGCTAGTAATCCAGTAAAGTTAGAATTGCAAAACAACTGGTTTCAAGGCTAGGATTTGCTGAATTCTTTTACGCAAGTAAAGGCTCGAAATTTCATTTCACTAGCTCGGTGTTCCAGCTACTGCGAATACTAGTTCTTTTAAATTTGGAGCTAAAATAAAAGTAGAAATGAATGATAATGAGATACTCCCACTGATAAAAAATTGAGACCAACAAGGCAATGTGTCGTGTGTTGCTCGAAAAGAAATGATTTTGGAAAATGGGTGAGAAAAGAAACACGATATTTTTTTCCTGATTGCGATGTTGGACTATGATTGTCTTCCTGTTTTAAAATTTATCATACAAAAACTGAATTTTAAAAGGAAAATAATGTAATAACAATAAAATATTTTTAATTCCGAGATCTATTTTTGTAAAGTGTTCTTTCCCGTTTGCTTACTTGTTCGAAAAAAGCCAACTTTAAGGGAAAATGTGCTTTTTACGATGAAAATAAAAATTAGCATAAATCAATAAATTGAACACTTGTTATAGTTCTGAATGTTGATTTGGGTTTATATAATGAATTTCTTCATAAAAATGTGTATAAAAAATATGCTAATTTTTTGTCATAGTATGACAGGAAAAATAAACCGTTAAGTGGTTAAGCATAACCTTAAAATATCAGAATTATCAGGAAATTAAGAGAATTTTAAAGGTGTGAAAAATACATCAAAAGAGATTAGATAGACTTATTTCTTGTTTTAAAAGCTATACAAAATTAAAAATCAGCAATTAGAGTATCTTACATTTTTGCTTTAATGCAGTTCATGTATTAATTTACTATATAGATAAAATTCATGTCTTCTTGCTGATGAGTATTTCAAACAAAAGATAGCTATAAAATGTATGACCCTTTGACAGGCCAGACCATAAATACACAGCCTAGAATACTTTTTATAACAAGAAAGTATATACATATGCATCATGAAATATGTCCAAGAAATTAAGAAAATATATTACAAGAATATAAATTTGAGGCAGACCACACAGAGATGAGAAAATTGTGTGTGCGGTCCCCGCAAGTCACTGTTTCCAAGCTTTTATGACGTGTCAAACAACATTGTTCTGACATTGCAAATGCAATAATTCGTTCCAGTTCACAGTACAAGAGACATAACTTCACGACCAGTGTCATGAGATTTTAGCATTCTGCACTATGTCATCAAGGCCTCTTGATTTCAGGTGGGTTGATGAAGCAATGATTTTGTTTTCCCTCCGATATCTTTCCAAATATAACAAATCAGATACAATTAAAAATGAAGGAGGTGTGGCTAATTCAGTCTGAATATTTTCTCCATTGGAACCACACGTCAGAATGCTCCCCAGTGTGTGTGACTGGCGGCAGGTAGCACTTCTGACTTCAGATCAGAAGGTTGCGTATTCAAATCACATCCGGGTCACCATTGTGGGTGACTGGCGGCGGGTACTGCATCTGACTCCATATAATGGTTGGTGCATTTGGCGAGGTTGTGTAATATTTATTGCAATTTTGAACTCAAAACATATTTATTACAATTACGAGAAGTTCTTTACAAATATATATAATTCATGGATAGCACAGAACAGTTATTGAAGTGAATTATATTCCTTCTGATGTGAGGATCCTGATAACGTAGGTCTCTCTAGTTGAGAGTTCAAGAGCATTTTTGGTGTTACGATTCATGTCAGGACTCTTGGAAGCAGTGACATGTGGGGACCGCAAATACAATTTTCTCATCTCTGTGTAGTTCGCTGCAAATTCAAGCATAAAAGTACCAGCAGCATTTTGGCATTAAAATCAATACAATGTCTCCTTCTCATAGCAGTTTTGGCAAATTTGGGGTTTTACAGCAAAACATTTGGCTGGTTGGAGGGTTAATATAAAATAAAAATTTAAAAAAAAATTAGAGCTGCTCTAACAAATTAGTTTCCAAATGAGGCAATGATGTGAAATGAGTTTTATTCTGAAAAGAAAGAGCCCAACTTGACATACATTTTCCATACTTAAGTTTTAAGTTTCTCCCAGAAAATACACTTATAATTATGCAATATAAAAAATGGCTGTTCTAAGAATTTCAGTTTTTTAAACTTAAAGAATATATGTAGTCAGCTAACTGTCGAAATATTGACAAAAAAAAAAAAAAAGGAGAACACCATAAAGTAATGAGTAGAATGTGGTGAAAAGTGATGGCCAAATAATACATTAACAAATAAATATTTTTAAATGAAAAAATATAATGCAATATAGCAAATATAACATACAGGGTGATAAAAAATTATGAATAATAACTATTCCTTGTGGTGATGCAAGGAACAACTACAGCAACCATTTTGAAGTACAGATGTGCAATCGAATGTTTCTGTATAGAAACACATTTCTCAACACAATAATGTTACACTCTCACTGTGCCTCAGATATGAACCAGTGGTGATTAGCCATCAATGGTGTCTCAAACCATGTAGCCACATTGTTGAGCAGTATGGTGTTATATAGTCACAAGACGACTGAATCTGTCTCCACATCATGCCCAAATTCTTTGTAAATTCAGTCACTCAAAAGGCTCTATTTCGACAGCATTATGATCTCTTGCATCGGAAGCTTTGCATCAGCGACAGTTTTCATAAAAAGTAGTATGACTGTGTCAAAAATGTGAAAGACAAAAAGAGTTCAAATGGAAATTATGGTATACTTATATGGCAACAAAAAGAGTTCAAATGTTCAAAAAAGAGAAAATGTTCAAAACTCAAAAAAGAGTTCAAGAATGTGAAAGACAAAAAGAGTTCAAATGGAAATTATGGTATACTTATATGGTTTATTTATTAATAGGTTCAATGAAATTGTCAAACAAGCAAATCAAGAAACAAACATGTATACTCTTTTTGGCACAAAGGCAAAATATTTACTCATTATATACTTTTGTATTAACAGTTTTATTTTTTAACTTACATTATCATCAACACTTCCTTCTGAGGTTCCTACTTGAATAGAATATGCAATAAAACAAAGGACTGCACCTATCCAGAGTAGAAGAGCAAACCCGCCAAATAGCTGCTTGCAAAATTTAACCCATTCCGGAACTTTTTTAGGAGGTGTTAATGCATTTGGACCGTCCCTCTCAAAGATTTCCCGGGCTTGCATGGTTGTAAGTCCCTGAAATAAAAATATTACTTAAAGCACAGAAATTGGTCCCATAGATCTTATAAAGGTATCTTTCACTTCAGATGTGTAAAATTCTGTTATATTTGGAAGCAAAAATTTTATTTTTAATTTTGTAATGACAGTAACTGAAGATATTTTAATAACAGCATAAGCTTAGAGATACGACTTTATATTTCGATATATATTTCGATTCGATTTATATTTCGATATATATATAATTACAAAACAATTCTTTTGAAAACAAAACAAACTTGAGCTTCAGATAAATTATCATTAAAGACAAACTAAGAAATTCAGAACTAATATTTCACAAAGACCATAAATTGAAATTAAAAATTAATAAATTTCAGATAATCATATAAATGCAACAAAGAATTTTAAAATGTTAAAACCAGAAGATTTTAAACAAGCAAAATCCCACTTCAAAAAGTTTTTGAAATTTAATGAAAAATGAACAAAAACAGAAGAGGAATTCAATCAATCTTAATGTCACTTCATCAGGGGGCAGGAACTTTGAAATTAATTGAAATCTCTCTTTTACAAAAATCCTTGCTTTTCTGTATCCAGAATTAGCCAATGAACTATTTCCATGTATTTTAATTATAATTCTGGCCCTTCCCCAAAGCAAGGGGAAAACAATGTAAATTCTAATTAGAAAAATTAGAATAATCTTAAAAAAGAGAGAATTATTTTTCTTTTTAAAAGAATTGAAAACGAAAGTGAAAAAACAATATACTTCAGTGAAAAATTTTAAATTAAAATGTTTACCTTTAAACAGATAATCCAATGAATTAAGATGTAGTTGGAAAAAAACCCATTAAGAACACACATAAAGTAATTAAGAACTTCCAACACTCTCATTAAACTCCATTCTAAATATATGAGAGTTGAAACAGAATGGTACGTACAGGTTTGTCATCTTGGCCTTATTCGCGAAACTTAAAAAACCTTGGCTAGAACGTAATCGCTCAAAAGGCTAAAATCTTGTACACAAAATGTAATTTTGAAAACAAAAGAAATACTTTTTAATATTTCAAGCAAAATTTATTTTAATTTTTAGTCAAAGAAAAAGTTGTATATTAATTGAATGAAATTTAAGTAAAATCTAACTCTTGTAAAACAAAAATGAGAATAAATAATATTATTTAGTGTAAAACTTTAATTAAATTATATATATATATATATATATATATATATGTAAGGATATTTTTAAAAGCAATTGATTAAATTAAATTCTATTAATATTGCTTAATAATGTGTTGGCGATTCTCTACCTAAATTGCATCCCTGTTCCTAAATTTTGGCGAAATCCTTTCTTTAGTATAAAATATATTAACCTGTTGGCGCCCGCCAAATCGCCAAACTCATAAATCTGTCATATTACATAAAGTACTTAAGAACACTCCTGATGAGAAAGAACACTCCTGATGAGAAGATAGGGTCACCTCGTGATTTCAATTAATATCGCTGATTGGAGGAGCCACGTGTACACATATGTATAAGTAGGGCTTCTGCTCAAGGTACGAGGAGAACGCTTACGAGATGGATGCTAAAATAAACCTACCAATTTATATTCCAAAATTTGTCTCATTCCTGTTGCCCCGGCTGCACAAAACAAATAATGTATGAGAAATTACATTTCATATATATATATATATATTCATTATAATAGAAATTGAATAAAGCATATGATTTGTTACTAGCTTTATAATGAATGTTATCAATTATCATCACTCAAAACATGACTTTAGTAATCCATAAATTAAATAATTTTCCAATGCATTTTTAACAGGGAGAAAAATGGGCAATCTTAAACTTTTTTAAATCTATTTAACAGCATTTCTAGGCCTAAATTTTCATTACTACATTTCTAACTCAGCTGAAATTTAAAAAAAAAAAAAAAAAAAAAAAAAAAAAAAAAATCTTCGAGTTCATGAATACTCTTCAAAGTTGAAAAATATTCCCGACTTAACAGCGCAGCTCTGTATAATCAGGAATTACATAGTGTTGTTTTATTTTATTTATTTATTTATTGTCTTTTATACATAACTTGCAGAACACATTTTAATAAAAAAAAAATTTTTAGCACTTTAGAACAGCAGCAAAAAATAGCTGATGTATATGTTACAGAAAGATTATTATTGGCTTATAGCAGACTGCTTCTGATTTAATGCTTGTGAAAAAATGTTTACAAGATTTTGTCCATCATCCCACTACTGACCTCATGAATATGTAAATATACTTGTGTGCAAAAATTAAGAAAATTTGCATATTAAGTTCAAATTTCTGAAAAAGTCATATTTTAATGAAATTTAGTATGAATATAGATTTAAAATACAGAGAGAGATGGACCATTCAAAAATCATTTTATACATGCAGATTATCCAATAAAGCACATAGTGTAAGGATCTCCACAATCCACACTGTGATATCAAAAGTAAAAAAATGAGTCTAATATGAGGTATGGTTCCCTATTACAACCAGATAGGTTGTGCTCAGCCTGATGGCTTACTGGACAGGAAGCAGTCGAGTTAATCCCATTCCTGTAGCAAGGCAGTTTTGAACTCTGGAATGGTTTTCAGAGGGGGATGAGAAGACAAAATTGCCCTTCCAAGAGCTTCCCAGACAAGCACTATAGATTTAAGGTTAGGAGATAAAGCTGGTCAATCCATGTGGCGAATACCCTCACTTATGAGATAATCTCAATTAGCTGAACTCTGTGCGGATGATACCTCATAATAATAATATGAGAGTACTCTTACTGCTGTAATATGGAAATGAACAATAATTCTTATTTCATTACTTTCTTAATATAAAGTTTAATAATGAGATTGATGCAGCCATTGCTTTATTTTGCAAAATATCTGCATTATAGAACTATGAACAAAATAACATAATAAACATAATCTTTACGAAATGTTAATATACTGGGGGGGGGACTCTTGTATCAATTGAAACACTATGCTTTCCAAATCTGGCAAGTAATAGGTAATATAAAAGTTCATCGAACTTCTAAAACTAATTAAAAAAGCAGAAAAGCTTGGGAAAGTTTTAAAATGCTTAAAATGTTTACAGGATAAAAACTCAAACTTACAGTTTCTGGATTTGTTCCCAGCCTAGCATATAATTCTTCCACACTAATCTTGTGCTCATCCTAGCAATGAGATATTTTCATAAACACAAAATGCAGTATATTAAAATGTTCAATATTCAAAATACACAGAAAATTATGAAATGAACTGTAAAATTTTCAGCTACATAAAATAAACTATATAAAACTATAACACAGTAATCATTTTTATACGCAGGTGATGCCGAGGTCCATTGAAAGGTTGTTTTAAAGGAACCTCAGACAAGGAGCTATGGCTGTTTGGGTTTAATTCAGAGCTATATTCTATAAAATAATTTTATTAGTATTACTGATCACTAAATATTTTGAAACAATTTATTGTACAAACAAATTTTTTAATGTTCTATATTTCAAATAGTAAACTAATTCCATTCATAACAATTTAGAAAATTATACAAGGAAAATGTTAATTTTTTTAAAATTTTTATTTTACAAGAACTTTATATTAACACAAAATTATTAACTTATACATTATATTCTGTAGAATAATCTGATTTAATTAACAGTAGATATATTGATGATTAAATGTACATCTACTTATTTTAGGTGTGGATTGACAGTGACAATAACTTAGCACAAATTAATTTTAGAAAAGAGCATTTTTAGCCTAATACTTACTTTTACCTTTTGTAAAATCTCATTATAATTTTATTTAAAGTTAACTTATTTAAGTGTACACGATTTTTGTAACACGCAGCCTTGAGTGGCACAGAATCAGTCTGAAATCCAAAGGGGAAGGTTGCTAATCATAAATTCTGAACAAAAATGCTATTTGGACACCAGTTTTTAATATTCAAGCAACAGCACTGAAGTTATTTTTTCTACTCTTAATAAAAAGCATAAATAGCTGAGAAAAATTTTAACAAAAAATAAAAAGAATTAATGAAGCAATTAGGTAAAAATTAAATTGACAGTAACTAAAAAAGGGGCAGATATAATTGAATGTATTAATCTCAAAAGTTAGTGTTCTTTCAATACCTAAAATCGGAGCAAATGAGGAATGTTCACCTGAAAAGAACTAACGAAGATAAATTAAGATACTGCTTGCTGCAACTATGTTTAAATTACTAAGGAACTTTCCAGATATAATTAACTGCTTTTTTGCCTTTAAATGTTAAATTTTTAATTACTTAAATCATTATATAATCTTTACCCTTTCTCAAAATATAGATTAAAAATAATAGTATAAAAAATTTAAAATATTAAGATCATTACCATGTCAACTTCCCGCTTGAGTTCATCAAGGTCAGGCTTGCCCTTCTTACCCGCCTTTGCCCCCATTGCTTTTTTCAATATTTTGGGCTTACCATCGGGTGTCTTTCCATCATCTGGTATACTTGGAGTAACAGCCAGACGAAAACTGTCTGACCTGGCCAACTGAAAATTTTTAAAAAATAAATAAATAAAAATATTAGCATGAAATATTTAACAGCTTAAAGAATCATTAAATAACTTTTCCTTTGTTGATGTATTAAGTTACACTGATACAGGCACCAGGCTTGAATGCCTCATCCTGGATAGAACACTGATAGATCATTTTTCAAGAAGTTGCAACATTGATATAAAATTGGGGGGGGGGAGTAGAGAGTTAAATGATTATAACAACTGAATTACTTTCACAACAAAATAAAATAAAGATTTCACTTGTTAAATGGATTAAAAATAGAAAAGATGACTGACCAATGACTGAAATGAAAATATATACCAATAAATAACTAAAAAAGGGAGAAAAAAAAGAAGCTTTTTCAAGTTACTAATTTTCCTCTTTAGCATGAAACCAATAGTATAATTCTGGTAAGACTGCTTAACATGTCGACTGCCCAACACAAGATAACTCTTATTAGCGCTCTTCTTTAGGATGCCGAATACGAGTTTTTGCCTTCAGCTTTGATAGGTGAAGTTATTATTTCACATAGCTCATCCTATGAGTAGTAAGATGCTTGTGTACCAAGATAGAGAATTCCACAATTCATGCTTTCAGCAATGTATCAGTTCTATCATGGGTCAGCGATGTTATTTCACCTAATAATTTGACTTAGTGCTGATACCTAACAGGGATGGACACATCCATTTTAAATGAATTACTAACTGAAATGGACACTCATCAATTCTATTACAAAGAAAATCAAGCTTGTAAATTTGAAACAAACTCTTGCTGAACTTGGGGGTTACATCACTAACATACTGTAAGTACAGCAAAATGGTGTTACACTATGTTAAGTTTAGTATGTAAATATGCTATGTATGCTACGTTAAAATAGGTCGGGTATAGCTCAGATTAAGAAACTATGTATAATTTATGCAAACCTAAATATTTTTGTAATTAAAAGGGAAAAAAATTAAAGAAATTTTAATTGAAAGGATTTCTATTACTGCTTAACATGTAGGAAAATGATACAAATATTTCTTTAAATAGCTGATATTTTTTGCTTGGGACCATGTCTGATGATTAAAAATTTTGTGGTAAGGAATAAAAGTTTTTCAATAACTTCATAAAACATCTACTTTCTTAAATTTAGTTCAATCACTATTACAAAATTAGACAGATTCTTTTTTCCAGAATTTCCCCCCCCCTCTATCTTTTCTTATTAAACAAAATGAAGATTTTTACCACAATAAAGAATATTGTTACAAATGTACAAGCGCGGTAAGATAGCTTCCCTGCAAAGCAGTTTTAGGGTTGCCATAAAATTGCAAAGGAAGCAAGGTTGCTACATTTGGCGACATAATTGGCACTATACCATGGACGGTTGGAGAACCTTCTGGAATGAATTCTTACCAGTCTAGCCCAGAATGTTCCCGAACACAAGCCGGAAGCTATTTAGAGCCTGCTGGTCCTGAGTCAGAGTGTGTGTGTGCCTTGTCTAGAGTGCGTGTTAGTATCGAGCTGGTGTCTTGTCTAGAGACTCAATCCCTGCGAAGTCGATCGAGTTGACAGCCGGGCAGTGTGCCGAGTGGGTCGTCGAGTGCATCGAAGGAGTCTGTTAGTATATCGCGGTTAATGCATCATCGAGAGAGCATGTTGAGCTCCGGGAACGACTGAACCGAAGAGTCGGGAGCTGTGCTCGTGTGTCGTCGAGTGCATCGCGAGTTGTAGCGTGGAGAGTCTCGAGAGTACCGTGGAGTTCCGAGAACGACCAAGCAGAGTCGGGAGCTGTTCTCCGGAAAGCAGAGTTGGGTGCTTTGCAGGAAGCTGTCTCCACCGTTATTGCCTGACAGTGTGAAGGCTGTGTCGCTGTTTGTTCCAGCGTGTTTATAGTAGATCTTCGACGATTGTAAAAAGTGACTTTGGAGCTGTCCTGATTAATATTGGCTAAATAAAGTGTGTTTCGATACTTCATCAAGTGTCGTCCTTATTCACTCCAAATCTATGAACCCCGTACGAGCGTGAAGGAAGAAAATAACGTAACAACTGGTGTCAGAAGAAAACGAAAAAACGTAATATTTTTAATAAATTTTAAATTTCTCTAACTAAATACTTATCTAAAAATGCATAAGAATTAAATGCTTAAGAATACAATATTTAAAAGAAATAATACACAACACAAATATCCAAAGAAAAAAACCAAATTAATATATTTATTTTCTGTTTGAAATCTAAATTTTGTACCTTCAAGTGATTTTTTATTTTTGTCTTTACACTTGTAATTCAAACATATTGACAGCTAAACATTATATTTTCAGACTGATTTTTTTTCAATTAAATCTTAATTAATCATTAAATAAATTACCTTAATTTAAACTAAAAATAAACAAATTTTGAAAACTTCCCAAGCGATGGGCACAAATGTTGACAATCTAGCTGTTAGTTATTAAGTTTTATCTTAAAGCATAAATAAAAATCTGATACGGACATCACGACTTCCCTGTATGGAATATTAAATTATATGCAATTTTAGCTTCAATTAATTTAAACTCATTTTCTCAAATTTCCTTACAGATAGACTTCTCATTCAATTAATGCAGTTCTCATAAATAAAACATCAAAATATCTTCACTAAAAATTGAAAGAAATAGAAAAACAAAATAAAAAATACTATTAAAAACAATTTTTACAATTAAAATTAGTTTCAAAGCAATTCGGCCAGCAGGCAAGAAGGCAAATTTTTCAATGCATAAAACTAAAAGTTTCCTTTTGGTTCCACTCAGCAAAAAGACACTGAAGGCGCAGAAGCTGACTTGATTCACTATTCTGCTAAGCTTCAAATGTAAACAAATAAATATCACTTGCTGCAGTATAAAAATATGCTTAGCTGCACTAAACAACTTTCAAATTGTTGATAATTCTACAACTATTGCATGCAGATTAACTAAAAGCATAAAAACGTTAACTGGAAGATAAGAACAACATAATTCAATCATTTTTAAACAAAAAATCTGGCATGTAAATCACATGACTTCCTTGCACAGAATATCAAATTACACACATTTTTTCCTGCATTTCATTTAAACTTATTTCCTAGAATTTTATTAGAGCTATATTTCTCATTCAATTAATTCAATTCTCACTGCACAGCAGGGCAAAAATACACAAAAACTCAAAATATCTACGTTAAAAATTGAAAGATGTAGGAAAACATAAAACACCAAATACAGTTAAAGCAATTCAAAAAACAGTCTTTACAAACATATAAAACAATTCAAAAACAATTAGATAAACAAAATTAGATTTCCTATGCAAAAACAAGCAATTCAGCAGGCAAGTTAGCAGATTTTTCGGTGCATAAAAGTTTCTTTTTCGCCCCACTCAGCAAAAAGACACTGAAAATGCAGAAACTGAATTCACTATTCTGCTAAGTTTCAAGGGTAAACAAATATGACTGCTATAGTTAAAAAAAAATTCTGATATGCACACCACATGACTTCCTTTTTTGTTGTCACCTTTACTTATTAAATTATTTAAAGTTTTGTGTGTTACCTTTACTTATAATATCATGTTCTTCACATTTAAACCATAAAATTAAATTTAGCAGATATCACAAAATATTTAAAAGAGCATATCTTTAGAATTTCTGATAGACAGTCTCGCGTGCCGGAGATAAAAAAAAGTTTTTTTTTTCTCTTCTTCTACGTACAGTGTTCTCATCGGTCGTTTTGAAATCATTGAGTTTGTTAATCAAAAATTCTTCAAAGTTTCACAAAATATGAAATAGATAATAAAAGAAATTCCAAGTTTGAGCCTACATTATACAAAATTTGACGTCTTTAGGTATCGTTGTTTTTTCACAGTGCAAGAAACATACATTCGGTTGAGACATACGTTATTCAAAATTGGATGGTAGGTTGCTTCTCTAGGTACCGTTATTTTATCACAATGCAAGAAACATACATACATTCATGCAGATTCTTCATTATTTAATTTCTTTAAATATAATGCGCAGCTCTAACACATTTGGTGGCAACGATTTGAAAAGTGCGAGAACGCAAAATGCCAAAACGAAATTAATAGCCCTTCTGGGCAAATAGCCCCTTTAGGCTAAAAATGGAGTGAAAGAGGGATTAGAATTAGGGCACTAACTAGAAACGAAAAACTTTATGAACGTCTCTAGAAAATCTAATTCAGAAATTGTTTTTTGAAAGCACAGAAATAGAAATTAGGATTTGTTTCACCAGCAATGTTGGGTAATGGTAGATTAACAGGTTTCTTTTTCCTGACACATGTCTCATGCTCCTTAGAGAAATTTTAAGGCTCTTTTAGTTTGACAAAGGCATATTAAACTGCACTGGCAAAGATTACTATATATATCCCCGGATAAAAAAAGTACATTATTTAATTGTACGGGATTTGAAGTAATTAAGCCCGGTACGATAATCAAAATGTTTTAACAGACCGTTTTACTAGAGTTTTGAAGTCAATCATTTTCTGCAAGTCCTCATTCGAGTATTATTCATTAATACCATTTATACACTCCCTTCCAAAAGTTAAGCACGAAGATGTAAAATGCAAAAAAAAAAAATCAATACTTGGTTGACACAAAAATCGGCAGAAGAGCATATTTATGCATAAAACCAAATCAATATTATATACAAAATTTTATTAAATTTTTGTAGTTATCAATAAGACATACTAGAGACTTAAAGAGAATTATATAAAGTGAAAAATAAAAAGCATAAAAACGAAAAAAAAAAAAAAAGGACATTAATGGGTATGTGATCTCCCTCATCTTATTCAAAGTTTACACCTTGACCGTGCTTTCATTAGGTGTCAACCACTGCAAATTAGCAATTGCCATTCTGCTTGTAGAGCAATTTCCAGCTCAATAAGAGGTGGTGGAGTACGGCCGCATCCCAAAGATTTTCATGGATCAGGAATATAGTACGTAGTCGACGAGATCCCAACGATCTTCAACTCCGGGATCTACCGATGTCGGAGGGGGCTTAAG